GGGGCCGGGCGCAGTGCGGGCTCCGGGAGGCAGGGGGGGCTCTGTGCAGCGCGGCGGCGCCGGAGCCTGTGTCAGCCGCGCCGGCTCCTGCCGCCCAGAGCCCGTGGCCGCGCCGCCGGCCGCAGCTCCTCGGTCGGGTCCGGGCAGGGGCCGGAGAGCCGCGCTCCCCCGGGTAAGGCCCCGCCGCTGGGCTCCGGCCCGGCCGCCTCCTCCCCGCTTCGCTCCGCTCCGCTTCGCGCCGCTGGGCCCCGCAGGCCGCTGCTCCCGCCGCTCCCCGCCGGGCCGGGCCGGGCGATGAGAAGCTGCTTCTGCCTGAGACGGGGCAGACGGGACCAGCCGCCGCCAGCCGCTCGGGCAACAGTTAAGTGTCCCCGGCCCGGGCCCCGCGTCCCCGCCTGCTTCGCCCGGCCGGGGAGCGCTGCCGCCGCGGGGTCCCGGGGCGCCGAGCCGGAGGGGCCCAGGGAGGGTGCGGGCGGGTTGGGGCGTCTGCTCGGGCAGGGTCAGCGGTGCCAGCCCATCGCCATCGCACGGGGCTGCTTTGTCTGGGGGCCCCCCCCCAAGGGCAGGTTCCCTGGGGCCGCCCGCCCCCCGCCTTCCCCAGTGGGGCGGTCTCTGTGCCAGGCCCCCGTGTCCTCTCCCAGGCTGGGCACTGCTGAGCTAACGGGGGTCTGAGGTCCTGGGGAGGCTGGTAGCAGCCTGGCTTTGTCCTCTCCCTTCAACCAAAACACACCCCCTCCCTCCAAAGCTGTAACACCAAGTCATCTGCTCTGGAAAACAATGGAGTGAAGAAATGCTGCCAGAAGCCTTACAGGGTTAATTAGCAACAAATACTTTCCAAGGCGCCTTCCAGCTTTTGTGTTCACCTCAGTCTTTGTGTACACTCAGTCACAGCCACAAATGGCATTGGGCGGGGGGGGGGAGGTTGCCTACCTTGACTGTGCCTTTCTGCCTGCACCCCAAAGAGCGGCAATGATTTCCCAGGTTTCAGTGGTAGCCGTGTTAGTCTGTATCAGCAAAAACAATGAGGAGTCCTTGTGGCACCTTAGAGCCTAACACATTTATTTAGGCATAAGCTTTCGTGGGCTAGAACCCACTTCATCAGATGCATGAAGTGAAAAATACAGGAACAGGTATAAATACAGGAAAGGATGGGGGTTGCTTTACCAAGTGTGAGGTCAGTCTTACGAGATAAATCAATTAACAGCAGGATACCAAGGGAGGAAAAATAAAGGTGACGGCTAGTGGCGTTCTGTTACTTTCCATCATGGCAAACCTGGTGGCTGAACTTTCTGACTTTGTCCTCACCCACAACTATTTCAGATTTGGGGACAATTTATACCTTCAAGTCAGCCAGACTGCTATGGGTACCCGCATGGCCCCTCAGTATGCCAACATTTTTATGGCTGACTTAGAAAAACGCTTCCTCAGCTCTCGTCCCCTTATGCCCCTACTGCACTTGCGCTACATTGATGACATCTTCATCATCTGGACCCATGGCAAGGAGGCCCTTGAGGAATTCCACCAAGATTTCAACAATTTCCATCCCACCATCAACCTCAGCCTGGACCAGTCCACACAAGAGATCCACTTCCTAGATACTACAGTGCTAATAAGCGATAAACACCACCCTATACCGGAAACCTACTGACTGCTATACTTACCTACATGCCTCCAGCTTTCATCCAGACCACATCACACGATCCATTGTCTACAGCCAAGCACTAAGATACAACCGCATTTGCTCTAATCCCTCAGACAGAGACAAACACCTACAAGATCTCTATCAAGCGTTCTTAAAACTGCAATACTCACCTGCTGAAGTGAAGAAACAGATTGACAGAGCCAGAAGGGTACTGAGAAGTCACCTATTACAAGACAGGCCCAACAAAGAAAGTAACAGAACACCACTAGCCGTCACCTACAGCTCCCAACTAAAACCTCTCCAGCGCATCATCATGGATCTACAACCTATCCTGAAGGACGATCCCTCACTCTCACTGACCTTGGGAGACAGGCCAGTCCTCGCCTACAGACAGCCCTCCAACCTGAAACAAATACTCACCAGCAACTACACACCACACGACAAAAACACCAACCCAGGAACCAAACGCTGCTACAAACCCCGGTGCCAACTCTGTCCACATATCTATTCAAGGGACACCATCATCGGACCTAATCACATCAGCCACACCATCCAGGGCTTGTTCACCTGCACATCTACCAATGTGACATATGCCATCATGTGCCAGCAGTGCCCCTCTGCTATGTACATTGGCCAAACCAGACAGTCTCTACGCAAAAGAATAAATGGACACAAATCTGACAGAAATCATAACATTCAAAAACCAGTAGGAGAACACTTCAGTCTCTCTGGTCACTCAATAACAGACCTAAAAGTGGCAATTCTTCAACAAAAAAACTTCAAAACCAGACTCAAATGTGAAGCTGCAGGACTGGAATTAATTTGCAAACTGGATACCATCAGATTAGGCCTGAATAAAGATGGAGTGGTTGGATCATTACAAAACCTAAACTTAATTTCCCCAATACTAATTTCTCCCTACTGTTACTCACACCTTCTTGTCAACTGTCTGTAATGGGCCACTCTCTTACCACTTCAAAAGTTATTTTTCCTCCCTTGGTATCCTGCTGTTAATTGATTTATCTTGTTAGACTGACCTCACACTTGGTAAAGCAACCCCGTCTTTTCATGTATTTATACCGGCTCCTGTATTTTTCACTTCATGCATCTGATGAACTGGGTTCTAGCCGACGAAAGCTTATGCCTAAATAAATGTGTTAGTCTCTAAGGTGTCACAAGGACTCCTCGTTGTTCTTAATGATTTCCCAGTTTGCCCCTGTCCTGGCCACGATTTTTCCGGCTGAGGATTGGGAAGAAGCCCATCAACCCCTCTCATTGCTCACTTGCAAGCTGCTGGTGACCGAAGTCAGGAAGTTGCAGTCCATGAAGCCTTGTGGTACAATCCTGGATTCTGCAAACGCTTATGCAATGCTTAATTAGATATGTGAGTTGTCCCATGGTCTTATTCTGGCCTTCTGAGGGACCACGTGCATCGAGGGAGACCAAACAGTGAGTTCACTGGGCTCGCCAAAGTCACGGTGAATTTCTCAGTTTGGACTGGGTGCTCTGTGGTGCTGGCAACAGGATTCATTGTCACTGGGTGTTTGTGAGCATTGTGTTCTGGAGGAGACCTTGGCAGTGCAGCACCCAACCACATGTGTAGATAAACTAAGTTATTTGATCTACTGGGTCAGTTGCAATAGTCGCTCCAGTAATCTGCAAGATGATATAGAGTCCTAGCGACCTTGGCCTGCTGATTAGTCCATTGGAAGTTACTGGACTTTTTGGTGAGAGAGCAGCATGTGAGGTGCAAGCTGTGCTGAGAAGTGTGAAGTGTTTTGCTGCAGGTGCTTACGCGTTTGTATTTCTTGATTTCTGATTCCCCTCTCCTCCCCCCCATTCTCAGGGGTCTCTCCCCAGCCGAGGTGATAACGTGCATTTCCTCCTCCTGGAGCACTGGCCGGGCAATGGCATTGGTGACCTGCAGCTTTATTTATTCACCTCCAACTTATATCACTGGGACTTGTGTATTTCTGCTCTGGTGTTTGGGAAGGTTTACTCAGCTCCACTCAACCTTGTCATGTGTTAGGCTCTGTCTAGACTAGGGTTAAAGATGTGGTGTTAGGTCAGGCCAGCGAACATGATCTAATTTACACTTTCTAAAAGGCCAGGTCTATCCTTCAGTTAAACCTGTAAAGCTTTGTCGATCAGGGGTGTGATTTCTTTTTATTAACACAGCTATGCTTGTATAAACCTTAGCATGGATGTAGTTATGCCAGTATAACTGTGTATAACTGTTCTCACACCCGTATAGCTAATGCCAATTCCCTGAACCAGTATAAGCACAGTTACACCAGTATGACCATGTCCACCATGGGACAGCTTTGCCTGTTTAGCTGTACGGGCTTAACAATACCCGCAAAACCCTCTGAATGTAGACAAGGCCTAACCCTCTTGTCAAGACAAGGAAAATTGTACGTCAGCAAGTGCCAAAGTAGTCAAGGTAAAGCTTAGATTCCCCACTAGGTTTCAACTCAACCAAGTTAGCATGTGCTAAAGCAGTGGTTCTTAACCAGGGGTGTGCGTGCCTGGTACACAGAGGTCTTCCAGGCAATACATCAACTCCTCTAGATATTTGCCTAGTCTTACAACAGGCTACATAAAAAGCACTAGCGAAGTCAGTACAAGCTAAAATTTCATACAATGACTTGTTCATACTGCTCTATATACTGTACACTGACATGTAAGTACAATATTCAAATTGATTTATAATGATATGGTAAAAATGTGTAAGTGTGCAGTGACTCTTTTGTATTTTAATGTCTGGTTTTGTAAGCAGGTAGTTTTTAAGTGAGGTGAAACTTGGGGGGTACGCAAGACAAACCAGAGCCCTGAAAGGGGTACAGTCGTCTGGAGAGGTTGAGAGCCACTGTGCTAAAGTTTGGCCTTGTCTTGACTGGAATGTTGGTGTGTGTTAGATTGAGTGAGCTAACATCATCTAACGATGCATCTTTAAATCCTAGCCAAGACTGGGCCTTACCCATCTACTTTTCTCTGGGTACAATAGGATATTTAAAGCTTAATCCGATGTAGTTCATGGGGTCATGGCACTGACCATAATGCGTCAGTTCTCGTCTCATTATGCACAGCTGTCTCCAACACCAATCTAAGGCTTTAGCCCAGTTCCCATGACACGAAGGCGCTTGTCTAACACACCCTGGAACCGAAATGACTCAGATGGAACTAGCTCGGATGGAATTCAAACCTTAGGTTACTTCAGTGCAAGTCATCCCTGTGTGGACACTTTATTTGGATTGAGTGTCCTATTTCAATTTCCTTTGTCAATTTTTTTTAATGATTTAAGAGAAATTGAAATAGGGCACTGATAATCCAGAGCAAGTGTCCACAAACGGACTTGCACTGACATAACTACAGGTTTAAGTTACGGCTACAGGTCTGTCGCATCTTACGCATATTTAACATGCGCGATTTCAGCTTTACGCGGTCGGCAAAAACAAAAACACCAAAAAAAACCAAAAGAGAAAAACAACAATTTTAATACTGTACCTGTAGTGCAGGCAGTTCCGCCC